TTTTGAATTCCACTGTGGATTCATATGCCTAATTTCCTCAGGTTGCTTCAGAAGTCCCGAAAATAACTGTTCCCTGCCTAAATCTGGAATTGTCATAATGAGCTATCAGAGCAGTCAGAAAGGGACAGTGTCTGTCCTTTAGAAGCAGCATGTCCTTGAACTGTTCATCATCTGCTTATTCTGGGCGCATTTCTTGTTTCATCTGCCAGTAAGACAGACTTCAAAAATACCAATAAATGCCTTCTCTTTTGTTTTACCAAGAAGGAAAAAGTAAATAAAAGCTTGCTTTATGTGATTAAGTGGGAGTTATTGGACTTAGGGCTTTTTCCACCACTTGTGACTGCTCATTCAGACCTTCCAGTGTTTGTCTGAAAAAAAACCAAAAGAATAATGAACCAATCATAAAAGAAAGAATGTACCTTTCCTCCTTTTCTCAGTGTTCAGACCAGCACCGTACAAATAGCCATTAATGGCTCACTACTGAAGTCTGAGGTTTCCTTCAGACCACTACATTCAAATCAATTGTGGGGCAGACAGTGTTTGCTGTGCAGTCCTGCCTCTTTGGAGACTTCACTGAGAAAATTGCCTTCACTAACTGAAAATAATTTACTATTAATGAGCTTTAGTGGGAGTCCCATTATTCTTCTTTGGTAGGATGCTGGTGGCTAGCATGCAGACTTGTGGGAGGACTGGTATTGAAGAAAGGAGAAAGATGAGGTAACCACAGGTTTCCATTAGAGCAGGGGGAGCACAGTCCTGAAGTGTGATGTATCACCAGTGATATTCCGTAAGAAATGTAATCACCCTTCATGGGTAATGAGAAGAGAGGAAAACTTAAGTACATGAGCCACACGGAAGACAAATGTCAACTCCCTTATGTATTCAGGCAGATACAGAGGATAGCTTTGCTATAGAAAAGGGATAGCTGGAGTCACAATGAATCTTTCTAAGATGCTGCTCGGCTGAAGAGCTTAACCTTTTTTCATCATGTCAACCTGGAGTCAGCCGTTCAGCACCAGGTCTCAGACGCTGCTCAGAAATCTGTGATACAGTTCCCAAAGCACTTCACAGGAGGCATCGCAGAGTTAGCGCAGTGATTTATTGACAAGCAGTGGGCCGGTGAAAAATGGCTAAACGAGTCCGCTGCCAGAGGATGCAGAGAGGTTAGGAATAGGCTTGTGGGTACTGGTAAGTTCAGGTAAGACTTAGTGATTCACTGTCCTTGTAGACAAAGAGGTTAAGACTACTACTGTGCAAAACTGTTTTTGCGGTGCATAACTGTGAGCATATTAGAGCTTGAGAAGCATTACAATGGCTCGGAATACATCAGAGATAGAGTGAAAGCTTTTGTAATCACATTTGTTTGATGTTAAATATGGCATTCTCTGAGGAGCTTGAAATCAGTTTATTCTAACAGTGCCTTTTGAAAGTGCTCTACTCAGCAGCATGAGTGGAAGCAAAATTTGCGTGTTATGAGACAGACCTTTTTTTCACCTAGTGCTTTGACCATTTCTTTGTATCACTCCTGGAAAGAATTTCCTCCACCTTATCCATTGCTCTGTTTCCATCTGCCTTTGCCTACATATTCTTCACTCGGTTCTGCTCTGCCTTGACAGTAGGATGCAATATCCCTCTGCTTTTGTTGAGCTCTACCCTATCCATTCTCCCTGGTTAACATCTTAGTTGGTCATCCCGCCTCAGCAGACTGGGAAGTTAAGGAGAGTGAGTCTTGTCAAAGCCACTGCCAATGGTTGCCTGTCCTGCACGTTGGAGTTGCTAGATGAGAATGCGGTTGGGGAAGGCTACGTGTTTTGGCAAGGTCTTCAATCTGTGCCTGAAACTAGTTTCACTTCAGCAAATGGACATAACCTTCCTATAGGTTTTGCACCATTTCTCCTTAGTCAGTTTTTAAATTATGTTTAGTATGGAAATGTTATAAGTTTATTTACTGTAGCATGCCAGCACTGTGAAGAATGCTTTTGTAACTAATTCTGAGCTTTTTCTCAAGTTCTCTTGAATTCTTCATGGAAATCTGTTTGGGAAAGTAGAACTAGTACCATGGGCTTACATCTTGCAAGAATCATTTGAGTCACAGGAGGTTGTCAAAGTACTGAGATAGACAGCCATCAAGCATTTCTCAGGCTTATGAAGGACACCACTGTCCTCTCCATGTTGAGAACTGCACATGTGGTGCCTGTTGGAAATACGGACGTTTGTTCTCATCTCCTGAATGGAGCATCAAAAGCTGTGTAAAGGCTGATAACAGGATGGCCAGATCTGTAATTGTTAGGGTACATTCAGCAAACATATATTCTGTAATGCTACCATAATGAGAGATGAGAGGAAAAGTATTTTTAAGCCCCTCTTCACTATGCAGTGTTGCTCTGGAAGGAGAGATAGATATAGCAATAAATCCTGCTGTTCATATTTTATGGATCCAGAACACGTTTTTGTGGGAAAAAACCCAGACGACATGTTATAGCTAGAGAAGATTTCTTAAAGTTGAGTCAAAGTATTAAGCAGCTCACAGGTTAGTTGTCTTCTTGCTGGAAAATGTCAGCATTTAAGCTGAAGAAACGAGATGTGCTTTAATTTCAGAACAAATAAATGTCATCATTCGTGGAGTAGATCACAATGTCTTCACATTGTTTAGTATTTTAACCTACCAGCTAACTTTAAATAGCTGAAGAAAATTGTTGCCAAGTTCTATTAAGAGCTGATCATCCACTTATCTGGGTAAAAAGAACAGAAATCATGTCACTGTGGAGTTTTTAAGTTGCATATTGATGGAGATGCACCTGGGCTGCAGAATGTACATCTTGATGGTGGCTGCTGGTGCTCTAAATATCTCCAGAATTCAGGTTTCTGTCCTTCTTCTCTCAAATGCTGTCTGCTAACATTAACACTAACACCATGCAAATGATCTATTATTTATCAGGCATTAGACAGAAATGCAAGGGAAAGGTACCTTTTAAAAAATATTCTGAGGATGAATAAAAGATTTGTTTAGTATTTTTGTGTCCATTAGTGCATGTGCAGGACGAATGGATGGGTAGTAAGGAAATGAGTGACTGTTCATACCTGGTAATACCTCAATACTTTGTTTTCATACTTTGTGAACGAACACCAGAAGGGAGATAGATTTAATGGAGCTCTGTGTCTTTTTTCGTAACTATATATGGTCTCATGGTTCTCATCAGAGACACTGGCTTTCTCATCTCACAGACTGGTAAACCAGGAGCCAAAGAACTGTGCGGTGTGTCTGAAGTCACAGTGGGGTGGCACACAGGAAATCCATCAGTTTGGGTCACAGTGTTACTGTCAGTTGTGTTGAATAGGTGGGATGTACACTGAGCAAGTGAAAACCAACGAGGAGGTCACAGCATATTCAAGTTGTTCTTGAATTAAATTAATGGCTAGACTCAATTTCTCAAAGCCAACTGTGAGCTGTATCAGTTAGGCAGACATTTTTCTTAGTGTTTCCTAATGCAGATGTTTGTGGGTTTGGTTTTATGAGTCCTCAGAGCTTCTGAGTATTAGTAGTTCCCACTGTGTGGTCCAAACCGTTCAAAATGATGCCCTTGCTGTCATTCATAGAAGCCAGGAATTTTTTGGAAATTAATGGGACACTTTGAAAAATCAACTTTCAGAGTTTGTGTTTTGTAAGTTGTTTCAGATCGTAATGCTAATTCTCCTCATCAGAGTGTTTGAAGAGTTAGGTCATGAGTATTTCAGTGCACAGCTTTTGGAGGAAGATGATGCTCTGAATCACAGAGAAAAAAGTCATTGAACAGAAAGTAATTTCATTTGAAAAAAAAAAAATAAAGTTTTAATGAGATATGTTTAAAAAATGAAAGTGATGAAACAAACCAGTGGGACCAACTTTCTCCATTCTATCAGTCCAAGAGGAAATATTCTAAAAGCTAACTAGAATGTGCAGCATGATGTGAAATGTCTGCAATACTGAGTGTCTTTCAGACAAATAAACCTCTGTTGTTACACAGAAATTGCAAAGGCTGTCAATTCTCATGCTTTAAAACATAAGTGACATCTGCTTTGGGTCATGATGAAATCCCAGTATGCATTATGAACCTGCAGTATTTATAAAAGTCACTGTTGTATTTCATAGAGCTCTGAAACATCTGTTAGTAGACAATTCTATCAGCAGGATACTGGATTAAATGGTGTCTTCATAATACCTTAGTATGGCAGTATCTATTTCATGTATGTTTAAATGTGTACAATATCTGCACATTTCTAAACTTTGCTTTTTAAACAGCTGTTTCCTCTCTAGACCTCAGTAGATCCTCCTGGGCTCTTATAGTCCATTTCCTGAATATGAATTACAGTTGTGAGGGTGAATGTTAGCCTGGCAGATCACTGTAGTCGCCATTTGGGGCTGCAAAGTCAACATGTGTTTATGCAGTGCTGAAGTGGGAGATATTTAACATTACAAATTTAAGATCTTTTGTGATTGCTTACCCAGTTCTTTGTGCTGACTTTCAGGTAAATCCAGTTTCAGCTCAGTGGAGAACATTTTTGGTTGGACTCGATCTTTAAGGCCTTTTCCAACCTGAGTGATTCTATGATTCTATGATTTTAGGGATAAGTTTCTAATCTGATTCGGTACAAGTAGATTAGCTACTTCACTGTTGCATAATTATCCAACTCTTATAAATATATGCAGTTTTCAGTCTCCTGTCTTTGAAATATGCCTGGAACCTGGGTTTATTTGCTGTTTAATCTTCCCTCTAATGCACAAGGTCAATTCAGTTATATGCAATGTACTCTCTCTGGAGAAAAGAACATTTCTGTGTACTAGATGCAGAAATATCAACCTAGGCAAATACTGAATGGAAAATCAATACAAAACATCAGAACAGTCTCTATTTTAAAGGTTTTTTTCTGGGTAATTAGTATTTCTTTCCTCACTCGATTTTTTTTCTACATTCGGTTTCAATGTCTGTTCTCTTTCTCATTTTGATTTTTTTCATTTGCAGTCATTCTAGCAGCTCACAGAGTTGCAGGATGCATGATGGTTAATTTCTAGCTGAAGCAAAGAAGTTCATATGTGGAAGAAGTTGAAGCAAACAGGTTCTCCTGTTTCTAGTGATGTTCTACTTGTGAAGATCCAAAAGCCCAAGTGACCTTATCCACATAAGCTAGCTGAAGACTCAGAATGATTCAGAATATCATAGCGCTTCTTTCAAGACTTTTCAAGTCTTTGAACTTACAGTTATGTTTCTGAGTTTGACAGTGTGCTCACAGGGTGAAATTTCTTGACAAAAAACACAGTTCTGCCACAGTTGAATTTTACGTGGAGCACTGGCTCTGGCCAGTGAAAGGCATGGAAAGGTCAGGAAAGCAAAGACGAAAAATGTAGACAAGGAAAAAGCACCATAATTAAAACAGGCTGATATCTTCATAGATGACTACCAACATTTCTGGAAAACTGAATTAAGAGGCTATAAAGGGCCACAATTCTCAGAAGTTTGTGTTTAGCACTTCTGCAAATAACACCTATTTCATATTTCTGAAACTTAGACCAAAAAAGAATTCACTAAACACTTTATTTTTCAACCTTCTCTGAGAGATTTTAAAAAGTGTGCAAGAGAAATAGGTGCAACCACAACTCCTGCATGCTATTTTGCTACTGTAGTTAGATTTTCAAATGTGTTCAGAGTGCCAACACTTTCCCTGAAGGGGAGGTGCCTACCCAGGTATTCCCTTGCATCATGTGCCTCTCCGATGGAGGGACCTGTAGCTGGTGAGCAGTCTCATCAAGCAGAGTGTTGCACACCAAGAATGTGCTCTTTCTCAAAGGATATAAATCTTGGTCCTTAAATCAAGAGTTCTGTTACAGATTTTGGTGTGACAGTGCTTTACTCCAGAAACCTGAAAGTTGCTGTGTCTGGAGATTATAGCAGCTTCAAATTAACATGTGTTTGTTTCTGATTCCCCTTTCATTTAATGATAATTTTTGGCAGGGATTCTCTTTCTAAAATAAAAATAGATCTGCTTTGACTTGCAAATTCAAACTAATTGGACTAACTTTTTAGTCTTGCTATGGAGAATTTCTACTGTTTGCTTTTCCTTATTGTAATTACCGAATGAAAAGAAGCATCGTCAACAAAAGGTTATGTAAGCACCTATTTTATGATAACCAAGTAGCCAAAGCAGTGGAAAGTTTGATTGAATAAGAGCTAAAATTCATGATTGCTTGGGATATCAGATGAAGGAAATGCTGTTAAATGGTTCTGAAGAACACTTGCTTGTTGTTGTGTTTGCATAGCAGACTGCCAATGGAGTGCAGCAGCACCTTAGAGAGATGCTACCATCATGACTGATTGCAGTTTTAACTGAAAAACTGTGTTCTCAACTCAAAGCTTACATATACTTTATTAATTTCATTAGCAAACTTCCTTGATAATCAGGTCACGCATATACTTAAGTAAAGGCTTTCAAAGCTCAATAGCAAAGAGAAAAATATCATATAGATAGGGAATAAGATCTTTTAAAGTAAATGAAAAAGTCTTATGTAAATCATCATCTGTGCTACATCTCTGTTCCAATATATTGATTTGTCCCAACACCTTCCACCACTTACAGATTCCGGTGCTGTAACACATGATTACTACAGTAAGTAAAATTGAAAATAAAATATGCTGTCAGCAAGACACTTCCAAGTGATTAGTGGAGAGGTCTGTAATTTCTCTGTAGCTCTTAACTGCATTTTCTTCACAAGGATGTTTGGCACAAGGTGAGCTTACTGAGTGTCATCCCAAAAAGTTGTTTTGAAAATGCAGTCTGAAATTGTCAGTAATTGATTTTTTTCCTACTTGTAAGAAAGGAGCAATTCTCATGTTGTAGAAAGTCACAATATTAGTTGTTGAAGAAAGCTGTTCTTTGAGTCTCACTGAAACTGGAAGGTTGACAAATACAAAATAGGACTTCAACCCACTGGAATCAGTAGAAAACATCCCATTGACTTCAGTGGTATTAGGTTTGGGTCCTGTGTGTTTCCTTTGCTCATTAAAATCCAATCTGTGTTCAGATAACACAGTCATTTCTTTTCCAGGAACTTGGCCCTTATTGCCAGTGAATTCAGTTCTCCACTGAGAAATACGATCGCTGCTGTTAGAAATACATTTGTTATTCAGGAGGGACATGATGATATTTGTTCAGTAGGGTAAAGTGGTAGTTAATAAAGAGATTTGCATTACAGTTGCATTCAAAAGTCCTTCTGGTATTCTGGTATTTTTGGAACTTCAGAAGGCACATAAACATTGTGCTACACGTGCACCCACATTTTTACTCATTGTGAAAACTGATCATCTCTTACTGAAAAATCAGCCATTGCCAACTTTAAGGGCAAATAAAAATGCAGATTCATCTATCACATTTTCTCCTTTTGAAGCACCAGACCAGCCAACAATGGAATATGAAAGAACAAATAAGTTTATAAATAAAAATGTGTTTTGCTTAGCTGTGTTTGCAGACATGATGCTGTCAAGTCTTGCAAGCATGCAGCTGGGACAGAAAGGAGATAATAAATAGCCACTGCTTTAACTCTGCAAAGTTGAACTTTCAGTTCCCATTGCAATCATGCCAAGTTTGGCTAAGAAGGGGATTACTTCACTTGTTGTTTGGTTTATTGTCTACCTTTCTCAAGCAGTTGTGTGTGCTGTCAGGGCTATCAACATTTGCAGTATTGAAGGGTACCCTCTTTACAAATAATCCTAATACTTTTAGGAGACTGTCTTCAAAATGAATATATGTGCTTATGTAGCGTGATCAAGGTGTACTGTACTTGTCTGTGTTGTTATCTACAGTCTGTTTCTGGATCTCCAAAAAATAACAAGATTATAACTTCTAGATGAAATTGAAGTTGTAAGGGTAGAATGAAAAATAAACTCTCAGAAAATCAAAAGGTGTGGACTAGTTTGCTTAAGCATTAGGAACCAGAACTGAAATTACAAAGAGTTTGCCTTAACCACAGAAGTTTGGCATTTCCAATCCAGGATACCTGATAAGAGCACAAACAGTCCTTGAAGGATACACTGCATGTCCTTCCAGATCTAAAATCTGACAGTCACCTATCGTGTGTTTCCATGAGATAGTTCTCATAGTGTAACAGGCCTAGAAACAAGTGCTGAAGTAACCCCATGAAGGTCTCATCTAGTTGTGTTACCTTGTCAACATTAGCAAGTTTAGGGTGCTGCAGAGGGACGTGTATTTCATAAGCTTTCAAGAAATGATCTCTCCATTACAGAATGCCTTCTTAATCTTCATTTGTTAATCACTGCTTTTAGTTGAACTATGGGAATGATTAATGTACCTAAACACTTGTGTCTTAATCTAGTTGTTTATTGGCATCAATAGTATTTCAAGACAATTAGTTCCACCAATTATCCATTCATTGTTTTGTAAAGCTGAGTTTCAGTTGGGAAGGTGGTTAAGTTCTATTTGACTTTGTGCTAGAAAGTAAAAAATATTTCCTACTTAACTTTTTCTATATTGTATATCGATGTTTATTCCATCCTCTTGTCATGTTTCAAATAAGCATCTCTCATCTGGTCAGCCATTCCTAATTCAGTTGTGTGTCTTTGTCTCCAGGAGCCTATGTTACTTTTCTATGTTGTTTAGTTATGGAGGTCAGTCAAACTGTATCCAAAGTGAGCACACGGCATTGATTTTTATGTTAGCATTATAATATTTTAAGTGCTCGCTTTTTTCTTGTTCCTTTGGGAAGATTCTAGCTTTTGTTTGCCCCATTCATGCTGAGCACATTTCTTGATCTTTTGGGGGATGGTGTGATGAGTTTTCCCACAACGAACTATTATGTTGTTGGATTTTATTGCTGCCCAGCAGTAGATTTTGCAGTTATTTACCCTACTTTTCCTACAAGTATTTCTTGTGTACTCTCAGTGAAAAAATAGACTAGATGTTGGAAAAGAAAATACAAAGCCACTATAGATCTTGCCTAGTGCTGCCTCAATTGTTTTTTCATTTATAAAATGAAAAAAATGTATACTATACTTTGAAATCTCAGTTGTGGTGGGGGTAGAATTGGGAAGGCTATTTCCCTCACGTTTTGTCTACAGATATGTAAATATGCATATTGTTTTCCTTCTGCTCATTTCAGTGATATGTGAGCAACAGGCTGAGAAATACTCTGAACACCAGTACATGATGCTGGTAGCAAAGCTATAAGAAAATATATTAACCTGAAGTTTTTTGATGAGAAACTCTTGCTGTCTCACTAAGGAAACCTAAGACTTACTGAAGCATTCTCTGAGTTCAGCCTGGCCCCTTGATTGCAGTGATGCCTTCTCAGATATCTTTTCCTTGAAATTCCATTCTGTGTGCGTCTGCTGAGGAGCAATATTTTAACACCACAAAATGGTGACAGTTCAGTAAAAGCTGCCTGTAATGTACCAAAACAAATTATTCTGGCCTGGGACCATTGAAAAGAGCTCAGTAGTTTGTCAACCCTCACTTGAGCTCTGTCCTGGGTTCCTCTGTTGGTCTGAGGAGTCCATCTCTTTCAGCAATTCCCATCTTTCACAACAGGGTTTCATGGAAACATAGAATCAGAGAATGGCTTGGGTTGGAAGGGACTTCAAGGATGGTCAAGCTCCAATCCCCTTGCAGCAGGAGGGCTGCCGGGTGCTAGATCAAATACTAGATTAGGTTGCCTAGAGCCTCATCCATCCTCTGGCCCTGCTGCCTGGGCTGCAGTTGCAAAATCCATACATAGCAGTCTCCGGCAAGCACTTCTTTGGCATTTCTGAAACGCAGAATCCACTTCCATCTTTCCCTGGTCAAGGCAAATAAAGTAAGTATATTGCCTGTAAAATTACAACTGGTCAACCTCAGTTTGCCAGTTTATGGACATGAATCCCACAAGTTTATAATCCCGAGGCCTTCCTGAAACTGCTGTTTCGCAGCCTTACCCAGTGAGTGACAAAGGCGACTAAGAGGCAGGAGTCAAATATGCAGAGGTGAGTAAACAGTTTATCTTACTTTTAAAGCAATTAGCTCTACAAGCTAAGTGCTCTTCTTCTAATGAGTGATGTGAAAACATGCTATTAAATCTGCTCCTGCTTTCTGGAGGGCTTCACTTTCAGCCACACTGATAGTTCAGCTCCTGCCTTCTGACAACGTATGGCTGTTCTTGCTGTGAATGTCTGTGATTTTTAGATTTTCTTTCTCAGCATTGGCATTTGGCTGTTTGTCTGTCTAGCCCCCTTCCCTCTCTCTACCCCAGTTTTCATTCTCAATTATTTTTGTTTATGCTGAACTTCTGCCTGCTCAGCTGCAGCAGAGCTTGGTGTTGGCAGCCTGCCTTGTGTTGTACAATTCTACAACTTCTGCTGCTTAGCAGCATGTTGGAAATGCTTTGAAATAAATCCATGTTGGATCGAAAGCAGCATCTTTGTTGTTACCCCCTCAGAATAATTTGGTGCTATAATTGGAATTCACATTTGAAATAAATAAACATGATTCCTGATCTATGTGCAGATCTGGATGCATAGTCAGAGAGAGATTCGTGCATACCAACTTCTGAACAGAGATGCATTAATTTGCAAAGCATGCATGGCATTTCTCCTGCCTCAGGCAGGTTTGAATTGGAGGGCAGCCCCACTGAATCTCCACTGGGCCCCTGTGTCAGTGGGATCGTTTGCTCTGTGCTCTTCTTGATGTGAATGTGCAGTGGAACGGGAAGCCATGGATCCAGTGTGCTACTGCCACTTTCCCAGTGCACGGATGGCAGCCCTGACTGAGGTCAGGGGCTTTCCTGCTCCCTTTTGAGTGTAGGCTGAGTGCTGCACCATCAGCATTTCAGCAGGTGTTGTGCAGGAAGTTCAGAGGAACACGACAAGGATAATCAGAGCAAGGGAATGGCTGAGAGAGCTGCGTCTGGTAGAGATTATTTAGTGAAGGGATATAATGGAGGGCTAGAAAATTGTGGGCAGGTTAGAGAAGGCGGACGAAGAAGGTTGTATCATTGCTGCTTCTAGTACAGAAGGCAGCACAACCTCAAGTGAAATTACTGGGAACCAGTTTCACGGCAAGCAGGATGAGATCCAAGCATCTTGGAGCTGCTTGCAGAAGCGTGGTACCTGTGCCAAAAGTTTGTATGGGGAGGCTGGATGAAATAAAGGAGAGATATATACTGAAACATTAAAAAAAAAAACAAAAAACATAGAAGTGACATTCATCTTATGAATGTTTGTGTTGAAAGTGGAATGGAGCCCAGGAGAGTGTTAGAGGCTTGTGCTGCTGTATGCACACATTGACTCATTTTTGTAATTCGGTAAGTATCCACTTACCAGGGCTGTTAATTGTGTCTGTGTTTGTGGGTGAGTGGATATTTTTTGCTGTGGACCAAACAGGCCTGTTTAGATCCTTGGTGTGTCTCCAAACAGTTGTTTGTGTGTTCTCATATGAACACATACGAGATCTTACTCGGTAATTTGAGATTATTTTTTCAGAGCTTTGAAGACTGGGCATTTTTTCTGCAACCAATCATTCTAGGTATTGCCATTTTCCCCCCATCTCCATATTTGAAATCAGTTTTTTAACTGGATCTCCTGAAATCTGGTTGCATTCAAATCTGATGCTATAAAGGGAGTGCTTAAACCCACTTTGTGCTCCTTTAATTGAGAAATGCCTGGGACACGGAGCCTTGAAATTGTTCAAGCCAAGAACATGGTTGCTGCTTGTCTGTCACCGTGGTAATGGTTCCAAGCATTTGTGTATATTCAATCAAGAGACAGCATACTGAGACCAGAAAATCAGGGGTTAGAAGGTAGTGGTGAGATAAAAGTGAGGCAGGGAAGACCTGCAGCACAGCTAATTTGCAATTAGCATTTTCCCACTTCGCTGTTGTCTGCCTGTCCTGCAATTGCAAAGGAGGCAGAAAAAAAAATTCCCTTGAAAGAATGCTCAGGATGGCCATAGAAAGCCATCGGGGTGACAAGCAGACAGACGTGTCTGTGATGCCTGCAGAGGAGGAGCAGGTCATGCCCTGTGAGCGTCTGTGGAAAGAATCATTTAGCACAGCTTGATGGGAACTGCGTAATGGCAGTATGTTCGGAGATTAGACGGAGGGGTACATGATGGATGAACTGCACAGCCCCAAAAATACCATGTACAGCTGTCATGCCTGTGTCCTCAAGATCAATAACTGTCGTAATAGCGAGCGGTTGTCCCTATGCTATCCCCTTTTCCTCCCTGCCACTTAACTCCCCGTTGCACTCCTGTTGCTCAGTGATGCAGTAGCACCTATGAAAAAAAGATGAAATGGCATAGATTGTATTTTAAATATGACTGGAAATCTGTGCTATTTTTAAAAGGATCGCTTTCCATTGCAGTTTTCTTCTAAACATCCAAGTAGACTTTCTTGAACCAATAAAATGAGTGAAGCACTGTTTTTTTCCTTCTGTTTTAATGTAGCAAAATTCCTCCTTTTTTTCCATAAAATGTTAATTGCTCATGTCCCAGTGTTCCCAAGGAACTGGAGATTGTAGTACTTTGGAAAAAATAGACTGCAAGAGAAAGCCTACGGGCTTCTTCAAGTGGTAAATCTACCACTTTCAGAATTCAGAAGGTATTTTTAGAATGGTATTGCCTCTTTTTACACTGGAAGATGAGCTATGCTTGAGACCCTGCTGGGCTTCTTATCC